AATAACTACAAATGACATGAAAAATAATAAAAACCTATTTGAAATTTTAGTTTTACGAATTTTTAGTTTTTTGTCATTTTTATTAGTTTTTTTTAGTTTTTTTTATTAAACCTCTGTATAGTTTTTATTGATTTCTAGCTACAACTAGCTGAAATGAGTTTGCGTTTTATTTTATTTCAGTTAATGTTTTTATTTCAAGTATTAAAATGTTGTTGTTGTTGTTTTGTGGCATTATTTTAGTTTTAGTTATCTATAATAACTGATTAGCATATGTTGAACGTCAGAGGAGCAAGGTTTAAAGCACCGTTCTGTCTCTTCTTTGTGCTGCAGTTCTGTCTCTGATCCTGATGGTTGTGATCCGCTACATCTCCGTGGTTCTGGTCTGGATTCTCACAGCCGTTGTGGTGGTCGGGTCAATTGGTGAGACTTTAGCATTTCATAGAAATAAATGACAGGGCCATGAGCCGCTGTGACTAGCTGCAGGTCACAGGGAGCCGGTGATGTGTGAGGCAGCGCTGTGTTTGTGGCAGGTGGGACGGGGATCTTGTGGTGGCTGTATGTGGATCACAGTAAATCTGTGAACGCCACTCTGCCGGCTCTGGAACTGGAGGTGGCCAAAGACAACCAGAAAGCCCTGCTCATCTACTCCATCGCTGCCACTGTCTTCACTGTATGTTTGAAGTCACATACTACTATATGAACTGCCAAATGGCAAAATTAGTTTACTGTGCAGATATGTAATATTGAATAACGGTGCACCTCAGGTGATTCTGCTGCTGCTGCTGTTCTTCATGAGGAAGCGAGTGGCGCTCACCATCGCTCTGTTTCACGTGGCCGGTAAAGTGTTCACCCATCTGCCTCTGCTGGCCCTGCAGCCCTTCTGGACCTTCCTCACGCTCATGCTCTTCTGGGTTTACTGGATCACCGTGCTCCTCTTCCTCGGATCCGCAGGTCTGTCAGAGCAATCGAATAAAGGTCTGGGGTGGGCGGCACTTCTGGTAGTCAGTCTGAGGGCTGAATGATAGAGCTTCATATCTCAATTGTTATGTATTTGCTCCAGTAAAGTACATCTAAAATGACAGAAGTACACAAAATGTAGACAGTTACACTCAAGGCATTTTTCCAGTTGGAAAAAAAAAATGTGTGTGTGTGTATATATATATATATATATAATTCATAATATATTTAAATCTATAATAATTCAATATATATACACAGACACACACATATGCATATATATATATATATATATATATATATATATATATATATATATATATATATATATATATATATATATATATATATATATATATATATATATATATATATATATATATATATATATATATATATATATATATATATATATATATATATATATATATATATATATATATATATATATATATATATATATATATATATATATATATATATATATATATATATATATATATATATATATATATATATATATATATATATATATATATATATATATATATATATATATATATATATATATATATATATATATATATATATATATATATATATATATATATATATATATATATATATATATATATATATATATATATATATATATATATATATATATATATATATATATATATATATATATATATATATATATATATATGTGTGTGTGTGTGTGTGTGTGTATATGCACACACACAATATATAATATTTATGTAGTGGAGTTGTAAAATTGTATATAGTATTAGTTATATAGTGACTGTGTATATAAAATGTAATTAATTAGCATATATGCAAAAATTGGTATAAATATTACCGTTTTAATATAGTTTTTTTTTTTTTATGTAAAAAATTATATAATATGTATTTATTATCTTACTAACTCTAATGGCATTTTGCTGAAGTTTACATCTGAAATGCTATTAAAAATGTGTCTCTTTTTCTCATACGCATACAAATGATCGCTATATTCACAATGTGCTTATTTTTTATCTCCTAAGAAATATTATCATAAATATCTCCTAAACATTCATTATATTCCCCAGGTTGTTTTATTATATTTCAGTGTTTTCCAGGAACGGTGTTTGAGAGATCTGTTTCCCCCACAGGAAGTCCCGTGCAGAATAACCAGACGGGTCTGGTGGAGTTCCGGATGGACGGGCCGCTGCAGTACATGGTGTGGTACCACGCCGTGGGCCTCGTCTGGATCAGTGAGTTCATCCTCGCCTGTCAGCAGATGACCGTAGCCGGAGCGGTCGTCACTTACTACTTCACCAGGTCAGAGGTCAAAGGTCATTCACTTTCCTCCATCTGTCCATAAAGGACAACAGTCGGGAGTTCTACTCTGTTTCTCTGTCTGATTGTAGAGATAAGTCTCAGATGCCCTTCACGCCCATCGTGTCGTCTGTGCTGCGTCTGATGCGCTATCATCTGGGCACCGTGGTTAAAGGAGCCTTCATCATCACTCTAGTGGAGATTCCCCGCCTCATCCTCACCTACATCCACAGTCAGCTCAAAGGAAGAGTCAGTCACCGTCAGCTCATCTTCATGTCGCAACAGATTTGACTTCAAATACAAACCTTTTCTAACATTATGATTGTCTTTACTTGCACTTTTGATCAATTGAATGCATCCTTGATGAATTAAAGAGCTGAAACTCTTAAACTCTAACCGTTTTGTTGCCGTAGGAAAACGCCTGCGCGCGCTGCATGCTGAAGGCATGTATCTGCTGTCTGTGGTGTCTAGAAAAGTGCCTCGCTTACCTGAACATGGTGAGTCTTATGGCACAAATATATGAATTCATTTGTTTTAATTTGATGCGTTAATCATGTGGCTTTTCTTCAGAACGCATATACGGCAACGGCCATCAACAGCACCAACTTCTGCACGTCTGCGCGAGATGCTTTCTTCATCCTCGTGGAAAACGCTCTCCGTGTGGCAGCTATCAACAGTGTCGGGGACTTTGTGCTGTTTTTAGGAAAGGTATTTACAACTTCCCTTTATACTGCGGAGAAATCAGTGTTACTTTAGTAAATATTTATATACTATTTATAGTATTTATTAACATTTTTATGTAGCTTTTATTTTTTTATTTTCATTGTAAATTCAGTTTGTTTTAGGAAAGTTTTGTTCCTTTTTCATATTTTTATATATATATATATATATTTCATATTTATTTTAATATATTTTTATTTCTATTTCAGTTTTGTTAATTTAGTACTTGTATATATTATTCCAGTTAGTTGGCAAGGCATCATGTATTATTTTCATGTATAATATATATATTTTTTTTTATCTAAGAATTGTTCTATTATTACACTTAAATTTCAGTCAACAAAAAACTTTCAAAAATTATTTTTTTTGTTACTAAAAAAAAAAAAAAATTATTTCAGCTAGTTACCAAAGCAGCATTTCTAATTTTTGTTTAAAGTACTAAAATGACTAAAACAGAATAAACTAAAACTAATAAATAAAAAA